TGTTGATCACGTGGGTGGATAACTCCTACTCTATCACACCTAGACAAGTTTGGACTGTTGTATTGGCTCAGCCGAATACCACCTCTCTTCTTTTGTTGTTTTTTTAATTTGTTGCTTATTAAAGTTTGTGGACAATAATATATTTATTTATTTATTACTTGTGTTCATCACACTCCTACAGTCCTACTCTTCTTAAGTCTTATGACATCTGTCTTTAAATAATTCAGTATCAGTCTGCCAAAGAACAACACGAAATAGAGCAAAAAAAGTAGGGAGTTGTCACCTATATGTATTATTTCCATCTAGGTATTATTTCAAGAAAATTAAATTAAATTTTTCAAAAAAATATTTTAGAAAATAAAAACTATCAGAGCTCAAAAACAAAAACTAAAATGTTCTAAATGAAATTTTCTGGTAAACTAATTCAGAAACATGTTAAATTATTTCCAAAAGATTCTTTCGAAATTAACTGAATTACTGAAATTTGCCATAAATGATAGTTACATTGATACTATTGGTATTTTTTTTTTTTGTTGTTGCTTTGTTGCATTCTGTAATGATGTTGAGTGTACTTTTCTTTGCTAGTAAATGGTAATGAAGCCTTGTTTTGTACTTTTGTTTGGTGTTTCCTCATTCTTGTCGAAGATAAAAATTGAACAAGCACAACTCAATCAAATAGGGAAATTATTATTGAGAAAATTTGATACAGCATAGCAATAGCCAATAGTGTAGTTACTAAAATTGGTAAAAGTTAAAAGAAAGATAGTAGGCGTTCGGACATAAAAATTATTTTTTTTAAAAAAAAAATAATATTTGAAGTTAAGTTGAAAAATACTTTTTAAAATTAAAATTATGTTTGGACATGTATTTTACTTGAAAAATATTGTATTTTTATGAGTGGGGTTTAAAAATTTGATTTAAATTTATTTTTAAAAAATCTCTAAAAACTTGCAAAATTTTATGAACGTTTTAAAAAAAATCAGAAAAAAATATATGGACTAAGGGATCAATAGTCCTAAAAGGGCACTATTTTTTTTTTTTTTTCATTTGGCATAAGGAAGAAAAAATAATTGGAATTGCCAAATACCAATAAAATAATTAGAGATAAGTCTTCACATTTCTAAACCACAATTGAAAATACAAAACAGTAACCATATACACTAAAAATCTGCAACATGAATGACTAGCGACTAGTTCAAGACTTGTTTGCTTCTCTCTTTCCAATCATATAGTAATATTCAATTTCTTCATGCTATGATAGTTTAGGCATCAAAAACGATTGATGGGCATATCTCAATTCTTCTTGTTCATTCAATACCTTGATATTTTTCTTCTCTGTTGATTTTGGCTCCATAATCTGCTTCTTAAATAGCCTTCACTCTAATGTAAGTTCTGTAATCTTGTGACACAAAATATTCTTTTGTTGTACTTTCTTAATACATATTTTTATTATATTATGTGTGGTTTATTGAATTCTATGTGCTTTTTCTATGGTATTCTTGTTTATTGATGACTTTTTTTTGTTCTTGTTGTTGAAGCTGAAGTTAACAAAATTGCAAGGGCATATTATTATAAGCTGAAAGTTGTTGCCACATGGGATTGGGGTTAATAATCTTAGGTGATAAAGTTACAGTCTTTGAGCCAAAACAAGTAGAATCAGTATGGAATCACAACTGGGTTTAATTGAACAATCCTTTAATGTTAGATATTCAGATGGGGTTAAAGAAGCACTTGATGAATTGCCTGATAGTTTTACCATTACTGATCCCTCTATTTGTGGTCACCCTATTGTTTATGCCTCAAGGGGTTTCTTGAAAATGTTTGGTTATAACAAGAATGAGGTGATTGGGAGGAATGGAAGGGTATTTCAGGGTCCTAAGACTAATCGAAGAGCGGTTATGGAGATTAGGGAGGCGATTCGAGAGGAGAGGGCTATAGAAATCAGTTTATTGAATTATAGGAAGGATGGGGCACCCTTTTGGATGTTGTTTCATATGTGTCCTGTTTATAGTGAAAAAGATGGGAGGGTGGTTCATTTCTTGGGAATTCAAGTGCCTATTTTGAGGAGGAGAAAGTCGTCGGGAGGTGGAATTGGGAAGAATGGAGTATGCAATGATGGAGGTGGTAATAATTGCAGGGAGTCTGCCTTTAGGTGTTGTAGGAGGGAAGTTTGCTCGAATTTGGTTATGGAAATGGATAGAGCATTATCGCTTGATTCGGTTTCAGGGTTGGATTGTACAGGTATGTGTATATTCATTATGCTTCAATTCTCAATTCTCCATTGACATTGTAGTGGATTTACTGTTTAATCTTCACAGTTGCTATACGATTGTGGAATTTGTTGCACTAATCTCCAATCATCTGAGTATTGTAGGCTTTATCTTATGGTCTTGGCTTTTTATTTTATTTTAAATGTTTTCCCTAATGCCCTTGCTCCCCTCAATATTCCAAATTGGAAAAAGCAAGCAAGAAGG